AGTCCTCATAATTCAAACTTAGTCATTAAAAAACATACCCAGTATGTTAAATGTTTGGCTCTTGAAATCATTATGATTAGTTACTCCTTCTTAGCAGTAATTGAGCACCTTTTGTAATATAGGTAACATTGGCCAGGGGTTTGGATTCTCAGTTTTGAATTCACAGCCAGCAGACTCTTGGACAGAGGGCGGGGGACCTGGGTGGCACTAGAGATTTTCTCCCAGGGCAGCAGGTAGGCGTTCAGAGGTTCCTTCTTGTGCCTGGTTCTCTTCTGGAATGTTGCAAAGTTCTCCTTTGCATGCACGTGTCTGTGACATCAGCCAGCAAAACTATTGGTGCAAGACAGTTCTCATGCTTTGCCAGAGGATTGCACTACATATTTTACCTAAACTGTTCTTGTTCTTTGCCAATCTAACCCTGGCAAAAAAAATCAACCAACTTCCCTCCCCTGTTTGTGAGGCATGACTCCTGCTTCGGATGAGAACAGGTTGGACTCCCTGATCCTTGAGGTTCTTGCCTGCTCAGTATCTCTATGATTCTATGAGAGAGAGTCGTCCAAGAAATATGTGAACAGGCCTTGCCCGGAGCACATGGGTTTCCCCATTTCTGAACAGCTCTTAACAGCTGGCCACCAGGATTAAAGAGAGGTCCTTCAGGTAGGAATAGGAGTGGGCAGTATCCATTACCTATTTTATTTATTTATTTATTTATTGTATTTATACCCTGCCTATCTAGTCATTTCGACCACTCTAAGCGGCTTACAACATAAAGGATAACAAGTTCAAGAAAAAATTATAGCAATTAATGAAATGATTCAGCAAGATGGGAAAAATACAAAATAAATCAAATAAAGAGAAAAAGAATAAAAAAGGAAAGAGGACAGGAATTAACTGGAAGGGAAGGCCTGCCTATACATCCACGTTTTCAGTTGGTTCTTAAAAGTACCCAGCGAGGGTGCAGCGCGAATCTCCGGAGGTAGGTTATTCCAGAGGCGAGGAGCCACCGCCAAGAAGGCCCGGTTTCTAGTTCTTTCCTTCCGGGTCTCTCTCGGCGTCAGGCTCCTCAGCCTCACCTCATGGGTCGCGCGGGTGACCTGCTGTTGGAAAGAAAGAACAGAATAATGGAAGCATCTGGTTCGCCATCAGTGGAAGCAGCAGGACTGAGATGAATCAGGCGGTGCTATAGTTGGGCCACTCAGCCAACTGCTAGGTGGTTCTGCCCTGATTAACAGTCTCGGTCGGAGTTATTTCTAGAAAGGCAATGCTCTGCAAGTGTGGTGGAATGAACTTCATTTATACAAAAGTACGATTACAGTAACTTGGGAAAGTGTGAAGGCAAGAGGAGAAGGGGACGACAGAGGATGAGATGGTTGGACAGTGTCACTGAAGCGACCGACATGAATTTGACCCAACTCTGGGAGGCAGTGGAAGACAGGAGGGCCTGGCGTGCTGTGGTCCATGGGGTCACGAAGAGTCGGACACGACAACGACTAAACAACAACAGAATACCAGGAGGCAAACATCTGCACCCATGTTGGCTGTCGATGCTTGTACAGGAGATAATGCTGGCCAGGCCTGCCTCCTGGGATGGAGCCTGTGAAACTTCAGCCTGGTATAAAGCAAGGTTTTTGTTGTTGTTGTTTTGGTGCAAGAGGGTCCTTCCAGAGGAACGAAGGAGCCTGTGAGGAAGACTGGCTGAATTCTTTGGAGCATTCTGTTTGGCCAAATGCTTGTGGGCTGCCAGAAAGGCTGAGGTTCTAAGAGAGGGCCTGCATTCAAGTAATGGAGTCTGGTAGTGAAGAGTTTTCTTAACTGGGATTCGTATCTAACATCACCTGGAAATAGAGACGGGGCATCAGCGAAGATGAAAGAAGAAAAGGGGGGAGTGAGAGAGAGGTGCAGTGTTGGAATACAGAAGGAGATCAGGAGATTGATGAAAGAGAAAAGAGAGAGATAAGAGAGGCACAGAGGACAGAACCACCAAGCTGAGAGAGGCGTTGCTAGGGAAACGGAAAGAATGAGAAAGCAAGGGAAGGAGAGAAGAGGCAAGAATCAGAAATAGAGGGAATGAAGTGGGTGGGAGGGCAGTGGATTTAAAGAGACAGGAAAGTGGGTAGATGTGGAGGCTTGAAACGCACGCGGCTGGCTGGGACCCTCCATTCCAGGCAGGCCAGCCGGTCCCACCTCAGCCCCCAGCCTCGCCTGGCCCTTCTTGGGCTTTGAGGAGGCTTGGAATGGGGTGCAGGTCCCCTGCCCTGCCGAGGGGTGGATGGCTTGGGTGCAGCATTAATACTCCGCTGACTCGGTTCAGTAAGGGAAGCAAAGTGCATCCTGTGCACATGTAAGCTATTGAAATGAAGGTGCCGCCTCAGCTTCCCTGCTCTACCCCCACCCACTCACCCACCCACCCCATCGTTGTGTCTGAGTTTACACACAAAAATGGGTCAGGCATGGAGGCCAGCCTGTGAGTAGCACAATGGGTTTCTTCTGCTTTTTCCTGGATGACCTGATGGGGCACAGTTTTGCATGGCTGGGCTCCTTGCCACTCCATCACAGCTTAGCCCCCACCCCTAGCAGCCTCCTTTCTTCCTTCCTTCCTTCCCTCCCCCCTCTTTCTCCCTCTTTTCTCCCCCCACTCCTTCTCTCCTTCCTGCCTCTCCCTCTCCTCTTTGTCTTGGCCTCCACACACCCTGCCTGCCTCCCTCCCTTCCTCATTCCCTTTCTCTCTCTCTCTCTCTCTCTCCCCACCCCTCCTTTTTTCTTTTGTTCACGTATTCCTTCTCTGCACCCACTATGCTTCCCCACCCCAGGGGTCAAGGGGAAGCTGCTTTTCCAGGCAACTCTTGCTGAGTACCAGACTATTTTCCCCCCAAGTGTTCAAAACAAGGAAGTTCTGTCTTGGTTCCATCCAGCTGTTCCCACGGCTGTGCCTTAGCCCCAGCTTCCTTGCCTGTGTTCCTTGAAACACAGAGCCCAGGAAGCCAGTCTGGCACTGGACTCTCCCCCAGCCTTTAAAAAAAAAGTTTCAAGACAGAGATGCCCCTCCAGGTTCTCCCTGCAAGGATGTCCCTTTAGGGCTGCTGCATCTTCTGGTACCTTGACTAGAGTAAAGGAGGGGAGGTACTGGTTAGGCCTGGTGGGCTTCATGGTGGCCCATTCAGAGCGGTCGCTCTTCCTTAGTGACGGGACCTCTGCTGGTGTTTGTCCAGCTGCTTTCCCCAATTAAGGCCACCCCTCTGGCTTTGTCTGGCCTTCTCACCGCCCAGCCATAGAGGGTGGCACTGAGCGCATCTATTCCTGAACAGATCCCCCCCATCAGGCCTGATTCTTTCTTTCCTTTCTTACCATTTTCACAACAAAGGGAATGGCACAAAGAAATCTTGCTAAAGCAGGCAGCCGGGCTCCCGGCGCTCTCTGGGGTTTCCTGTGAAAGTGTGTGCTTGCTCGTTGGAACTCGGCCTTGGTGCCACTTCACATACAACCTTCACCCCTTCAATTTAAAAAAATTCCATATTGTCTGGACAAGGTATACCAAATAAAAGTTTGCTGCCAGCTGGCTCATTGGTACCTACAACAAGTAGGGTCTTATTGTAAATACATGCACGCCTCCCTCGTGTCCCTATAGGAATCAAGAAGTTTGGGGCACACCCTATATTGGGCTCCAGAGCCGTAAAGAGGGAAAAACACATCAAGAACATCAATGTTAGGAATCTATGTCCGTAGTCTGCCTATGAAATTCCTCTTCTGCACCATGTTTCTGGTCTCACTGGCCATGACAAGAAGCCTTAGGCCCTGTTGGTCCCCTATATACACATTTTTGATCCTAGGGGATCACATTTCCTTCCCCTAAACCAGGGCTTTGGACTGAAATGTTGTCTCATATAAGCTCAGCATTTTCTTCTACCTGAATTCAGAGAGTTCATCTCCTGCAGTCATATGTTTCACCTGCCCCTGTTCCCTCCAGCTCTGTTTTTCTTATTTTGCATTCAGGAGGGTAAAGCTTAAGGGGTATCTTATGAGCACCAGTCATCTTCAATCCCACATCATCACTTTTCTAGGTCGTGAGGTCTTAAGAGTACAGTATATCTAGATTACACAGTTATAACAGTTTATATCCCTTTACCTGCTATGGCTCCATCCTGTGGAACTCTGCAATTTGTAGTTTGACATTCCCTACAGAAAAGTCTGGCGCAGTAAATTAGAATTTCTGCTAACAAGCTCTATTGCTCCAGCAAAAAAATAAAAAGTTTAATTCCCTCACCAAACTACAAATCCCTGTTTACCATGGGAATTAGCAGAGGTAATGGAAAAACTAGAGAGACTGGCATGGTGCCTTTGTGGACCCAGACGTTCTGCAGGAACATCAGCAATCTAAACTCTTACCTGTTGGAGTAGGTAGTAGGTATTACCTGAATTGAAAGGTACAGAGCTGGCAACTGGCACCGTGTAGGGACTGCTTGATAAAAACATACACAAAATGTTGGGTCACAATAAGGAGAATGGGTTTAGAGCAGTACACACAAACAACACGTCTGTCGGCTTGCCTAGAAAGATGGGAATTTCCCCACCTGTGATAATGAACCAGGATTTAAGCCCAGAGGATGGAGAGGACCTCTTTTGTTGAGAGTTGTGTGGAACTCGTGTGAATTCCCCCAAAAATGTGCAGCAAGAAGTGCCAGCCGGTTAGGCAAAATTAGCTGGAAGTTCCCCCTTTTTTGGTACTCTCCCCTCACCAAACACTAGCACATAACAAAATACTCAGGAGGCCTTTTTGTCATTGAATAAAGAAGTCTATTTTATTCACATGAGGTTATCATTCTCAAAGGTTTCAGTTTGTTACATAATAAACATTTTAAAGATATGAAAACATGTAGCTTAATGTGTAAAGATCTGAGAGGGAACAAGTGATTGTCTGTTTTGAGGTTTAATCACCTCGGAGAGAGAAGAGGCAGTTACAGACCAGTAACAGTCAAAGCTTCCCTCTGATTGGTTAGTATTCAAAACTATATACTAGCAAGTTAGTCTGTGCACTGGATGGTCTTTCCCCTTTGAAATTTACAGTTAGATTGGTTGACCATCCAACACATCCAACATCTTTGAGGTGCTGATCATTGTGATGCCTAATCTGAAAACGAATGCCCTGGAGAAACTTTTAAAACAAATGTAATTTAGCATGCAAAGCTGTGAAACTTTTATACTTCCTGTAGTTCACATGCCTGCCATACACAGACACAATAGCCCTGGGCTGGACTCTGCTATCTGGTAGGCTCTATCTAGGATGGCCCATGGCGAACTCTTGCTCATGACTGCAGGGACCGCATATTGATGTTCTTTGTGCAAAACAAGACACATCTTATCCCAGAGAACAATGAAGATGTTTCCTGGTGAGAGGATTGTGTGATATTGGATGTCTTATTAGGGGGCGGGGGGGAGGTTGGTGGTTTTTTGGGGGGGTTGTTTTTAGTGTGGGGTCAAATTTAGCTGGTTGGATAGTTCTATGAAATAGCGCAACTGGCTGCAAAGTCAGAGACTGAGCATTTCATTCCGCACTGTGAGAAAAGCCAAGCTGGGTCATCTTGAACAAGTTACACAGTCCCAGAGTAAAACACACACACACACACACACAACACACACACAGAGAGAGAGAGAGAGAGAGAGAGAGAGAGAGAGGACATTTTGGAGTACTTTGCACCTAGAAAACTCTGAAGTCACCAATGGTTCAATAAAAGTACCTCCCCACCAATTGCATGCTAAGCTTTTCTTAATTTAGATAACACCCCTTCCGGAACATTCCCCCCCACTGCAATGCTAGTCACAGATTCTGGCTGGAGATGTAAAAAAAAATTTTTTTGGAGGGGAATCCATTTTTTTCTGGGGAAAAAACAGGGAAAAACATTTTTTTCCAGGGGGAAAAATGGAGATTTCAGACATTTTTCATCTTTACTAGTCACCATAAGTCAGAATCAACTTGATAGCACCAAATTCAGCGATATAAAGCCCATCTAAGGCCGAAACAGCTGCAAAGTAACTACTTTTTTTTTAACTGTTGAGGTACAGATTGATTGATTGATTGATTGATTGATTGATTGGTAAATAAATAAATAAATAAATATCCCTTCGATTTTATTCAGCATCCTTGGTACTCGTCTACCATTTTTGGTGGTGTGGGTTGTGTACTGAGCAGCTTCTCTTTTTGTCTTGTTCTTTTAGGCGGTTCTGGATGGTGTGAGGCATGGATCGTTTTGCCACCTCTGGAACACAGACAGACGCGGTGGTCGTGCTCTCCCTGGCGCAGGCAGCCGTCCTGGGCTTGGTCTCTGAGAATGAGTTCTTTGGCGCCACTGCCAGCCCTGGGGGCTTCTTCTCAAGCTTTGCAAGCAAGATGGATGACACGGCAGCCCCACTAGCAGGGAAACAGACGGAAGGGAGCCACCACTCGGACAACGAAGCCCCGAGCCAGGCAGAAACCCCCGAGGAGGAAGGGATGGAGGCCGAGGCTCCCTTTGGGAAACATGCCCGGAGGAGAAAGCGCCCCCCTGTCAGGCTGCTGCCCAAAGTGAAGCATGAGGAAGGGGAGGCCGATCAAGGGGAGGAGGAGGAGGAGGAGGAGGAGGCCTACGAGGTGCCCGTCTCAGGGGAAGAGCAGGAAGAGCAGCCAGGAGGCGAGCCCGCCTGCTTGGAGGATCCGGCCTGCGAGCCGACGGTGCAGAGCAGCGCCACCAAGATGATAGAAGGGGAGGAGGGAGGAGGAGGAGGCCTACGAGGTGCCCGTCTCAGGGGAAGAGCAGGAAGAGCAGCCAGGAGGCGAGCCCGCCTGCTTGGAGGATCCGGCCTGCGAGCCGACGGTGCAGAGCAGCGCCACCAAGATGATAGACCTGAGCGCGTTCCACAGGAAGCCTCGGGGCCTCCGGCCCCTGCGGAGGCCCCCGTGCCAAGACCTCTCGCCCGGCACGATGTTTGAGGAGAGCGCCCCGCAAGCCAGCCTGGACGGGGCCGAGGCCTTCCCGCAGAGGGACTGCAGCAGCTTCCCGCCCGGCACGCCCACCCTGAGCAGCCTGGGGGACCACCTGCCCAGCTCTCCTTCCGAGCAGGGCAAGAGCAAGGCAGCCTTCCTGTGGCCGGAGCCCGGGGATTTCGAGGCCGAGGGCCACGGGGAGCACAGCAAGAAGGTGCAGCTGGACCGGCTGGACATCAACGTGCAGATCGACGACTCCTACCTGGTGGAGAAGCGGTGGCAGTGCCGCCTCTGTGAGAAGTCCTACACCTCCAAGTACAACCTGGTGACCCACATCCTGGGCCACAACGGCATCAAGCCCCACTCCTGCCCCCACTGCAACAAGCTGTTCAAGCAGCCCAGCCACCTGCAGACCCACCTGCTCACCCACCAGGGCACCCGGCCCCACAAGTGCCAGGTCTGCCACAAAGCCTTCACCCAAACCAGCCACCTCAAGCGCCACATGCTCCTGCACTCCGACATCAAGCCCTACAGCTGCCGCTTCTGCGGCCGTGGCTTCGCCTACCCCAGCGAGCTGAAGTCCCACGAGGGCAAGCACGAGAGTGGACGCTGCCACGTCTGCGTGGAGTGCGGCCTGGACTTCTCCACGCTCACCCAGCTCAAGCGCCACCTGGCCACCCACCAGGGCCCCACCCTCTACCCGTGCCCGGAGTGCAGCAAGTCCTTCCACTACCGCAGCCAGCTGCAGAACCACTTGCTGAAGCACCAGAATGTCCGGCCCTTCGTCTGCACTGAGTGTGGCATGGAGTTCAGCCAGATCCACCACCTCAAGCAGCACTCCCTGACGCACAAGGTAGGCCGAGCGGGGAGGAGAAGGGCCTGGGATTTAGGGCTGAAGTGATTGGGGTGCCTTTTCCGAAGCATGAGCCTAAGGGGTCCTCTTCACCAAATAGAAAAAGCCACGTGTGCTGCTTATATAGCACACCATAATGCTTAAAAGCATTCTCCAGGCAGTTTATAATTTAATTTATGCAAACTATATATGCCCCCCATCCCCCATGAGCTGGGCAATTTCACTGACTTCAGAAGGATGGAAAGCTGAATCAATCTTGAGCATCTGCCTGAATCCACTGGGACCAAAATCAGGTCTTGAGTGGAATCTTGACTGCAGTACAGTGGTACCTCACTAAACTACGACCCTGCTAAACGATGAATCTGCATGATGATGACTTTTTGCGATTGCTATAGCGATTCGCAAAACAGTCATTCCTATGGGGGATTTTCGTTGGACGTCGATTAGGTCCGTGCTTCGCAAACCGTTTGTTCACAAGACAGCGATTTTTTCGGCTCTGCAAAATGGCTGTCCTGTGTTTTTGCAAAATAGCTGTCCTGTGTTTTCTGGACCCATGTTTCGCAGAGCAGCCATTTTTACAGCTGATCAGTGCTCACAAAATGGCTTCCCTATGGGCGATCTTCGCTGGACGACGAGGTATTTTCCCCATTGGAAAGCATTAAACCGGGTTTCAATGCATTCCAATGGGGAAAGGGTTTTCGCATTATGACGATTTTGCTAAGCAGCGATTTTCCCGGGATGGATTATTGTTGTCATGCGTACTGCATTTTAATCACTGCACCCCGAGACTTTTTATATTATAAACTAATATAAAGTGGGTGGGCATTTTAATCACTGCACCCTGAGACTTTCTATATTATAAACTAATATAAAGTGGGTGGGTTTGTGGGTAGGATAGGCATGTCTCTGCTAGACTGGGCAACAGAACTTTAGAAAGGCAATCATGAGCAAGATATGGCACTCCAGGTGTTGTGAGATGGTAACGTCCCCCATCCCCTCATCGTTGGTACGGATGGAAGTGGCCGCCAAGCAAAAGGTGGAGGACACGCTTTGTCTGCCCTTGCCCAAGGACGGTTTCTTGGTTGGTTCTTTCTGGCAAAGAAACGTCTTCCTCCCACTGGCCAAGGGCCCAGCTTCTACCTCTCCATTTGGACTTCCAAGAGAGAGGAAGACATGTAGGGCTTGTGGATCTCCCGTTCTGTCTCACACTGCTCTGAAAGATCCCTGGAAGGTTGGCCCAGAGGGGGACCCAACCTGGCCAGGTTCACTCTGCTTAGTCTTTGTCTGTGATTCTTCTCAGGGTGTGAAAGAGTTCAAATGCGAAGTGTGTGGAAGGGAGTTCACCCTCCAAGCCAACATGAAGCGGCACATGCTGATCCACACCAGCGTGCGCCCTTACCAGTGCCACATCTGCTTCAAGACGTTCGTCCAGAAGCAGACGCTCAAGACCCACATGATTGTGCACTCACCTGTCAAGCCTTTCAAGTGCAAGGTAGCTGGGCTGAGGGGGAGGGGAAGGGAGGGGGCTGCGGAGGGACCCGGAGGGAGAGGGCTGCCAGGGAGAGGGAGGGCCAGGCCTGCAGGGGGGCCTTGAAAGGGCTCCCCAACAATCCGTGTCTCTGTCTAGAGCCTACATGAAGGTACGACACCCGATGCTCACGTGTCCATGTTCAGAAACATGGTTGGGAGGGATGGGGCCGAGGCCTCAGCTGAGCTGGGGTGGGGCCCATTCCTCACCCCCTGGGGTCCAGCAGCCCTTGGCCTGGAAGGGCCAGGAGGGACCTGCGCAGACCTGGAGTCCTTGCTCCTCTGAAGGCTAACAGCTGCCTTCCCCTTCAGGTGTGTGGGAAAGCCTTCAACCGCATGTACAACCTCCTGGGCCACATGCATTTGCATGCAGGCAGCAAGCCCTTCAAATGCCCTTATTGCTCCAGCAAGTTCAACTTGAAGGGCAACCTCAGTCGGCACATGAAGATCAAGCATGGCGTGATGGACATCAGTCTGGACAGTCAAGGTAGGTGAACCGGGACGGGAAGGAGCAGCAGCTCGGAGGCCTCCACGAAAGGGAGGGCCTTTTCTTGGCAAAAGGCAACACCAGGGCTCCCTCTGCAGGCCGCTGCTGCAACTGCTGAGCCCGCCTCCCTCCCATGGAGGGGCTCACACAGAAACCTCTGACTTCAAACCCCCAGCAGTTGCCCCCCCACCCCCGACTCACTTTGTCCTCTGTTGTTTGCCCAGATCCTATGCTGGACCTGCCAGGCAGTGAACACGCAGAGCTGGATGGACAGCCAGAGATGGAAGACTACGAGGAGGAGAACTCGTACGACTATGGGGTGGTGGGGAACGCTCCCGACGGGTCTGCCCTGGCAGAACAAGCCATGAAGGAAATGGCCTACTACAACATGTTGTAGCGGGGGAAGAAGCGAGAGGCAGGCATCGCACAGAGAAGAGGGAGCCTCTCTGGGCAGGGGGGGGCAGACCACCCGATTCTGCGCCTCCTGCCGTTTATCCCTGCAATGGACCTGTGGAAGCCTCACCTCCCCCTCTTGCCTCAGTTCTGCTCAGAGGGGACGCCCATACTTTCCTCCCCAGCCATAAAGGGCCAGAAGCATCCTTTGCGTCATTCTACCTCCCACAGCACCTGGCAAAGGTGATACTGCGCACCCAGCACAAAAACACCCCCCTTCAGAGCAGGAGCACCCAGAGGCTGGGTTACAGAGCCCGATCGGATCCACCCCTGGATGTCTCCTTTACAAGCTACCTCTGCCCTGCACCAAAAGGATGGCCGGGGCAGGGGGCTCTGGCCCCAAAACCTGTGGGGCTGGAGCACGGCTGGGCAACCTGTGGCCCTCCAAATGTTGCTGAACTGCAGCCCCCATCCCCCTTGGCTACACGGCTCGTGGAGGTTGCAGCCAAGCACCTATGGGGGGGGCGGTACATTTCCTAGTAGCCCATGAACCTCCACCCCCACCCCTGCTGCCCTCATCCTGGCAGAGCAGTCCAGCCAACCTGCTGACCAGAGCTGTCCTGTGCAGTTTGTGGCCATGTTAAATTATTATGTCACTTCCACAAAGTGGATTATACCACTTGTGCATAGATCTACTGTGTTTATTTTCCTGTTCCGAAGAAGTTGAGCAATAAATATTCTTTGACAGAAGCACCAGGTGGTTAGTGCTGGAGTAAAGATACGGGAGGGGGGGGGGAGGGAGGGAAGAAAGCTGGAGAAGCATCTGTAAGCTGGCCAGGGGAGCCTTTCCTCATCAAGAGTCACAGCAGTGGATTTGTCAGCACTAGAAAACAGAAGCCAAAGTGAAGAAGCAAAACAGGGTGTAAAAGCTATGCTTTAATCGTTCTCTTGGGCCCCTTGGGGCCTGAACCACCAGACATAAATTACAGCACAGAACCTTCATCGCTGCCGTTCAAGGTGGGGAGACTAGCACTGAGCCTTCCCCTCCCCCCCCAAGCCAGCCAGATAAGTTCTTGGGCCCCTGCGGGCCACCTAAAAAGAGTCTAAAAAAAACAACCATCAGAAAACAGCTTATAAAAATGTTTTCCTGGTTGAATGGCCGGAGCTTATTCTGTTAAAAAATGAGGTAAAACACCTTCACTGAGTGCCTCCCGGCTCTTTCCAGCCTCCCTGGGAAGGCAGCTGCTGAATGCTTCTCCTACTCCTTGCCCAGCGCTTTGTCCAAGTTGTTCTTGATGGCGTCCAGGAAGTCAGTGGTGTTCACAAAGTGCTCGTTCAGTTTCACACTGGAAATGCACAAAGTGGGGGCAAAGGTTAGCAGCTGAAAAGGCTGGGGGGGGGCTACTGGTGCCTGCTGGGCAGGAGCCCCCACCCCACCCCTAGAGCCAGCAGGGTCGCTGCTGGGGAAGAGGCTCCCATGTGGTCAATATCTCCCTCTCTCCCTCCCCACCTGCTTACTTGCTTAATCCATGGATGCAGCCGGCCAGATCTTTTGTCATTGTCCCGCTCTCCACCGTCTCGACACAGACCTTCTCCAGAGTCTGGGCAAACCTGGCAAGGGGGCAGAGATTAAGGCTGAGATAGGAGGAGGTGCAGGAGGGGAAAGCCAGGCGCAGATCCTGCTGTGGATGCCACTGTTCTCACCTCCTTGACAAGGACAGGATGGTCTGGGGCAGCCCAACATTTTGCAAGATTTCCTCAGGCTTGCTCTGCCAGGATCTGCCTCCCCTGCTCATCCTTGGGGTTCCCATCAATCACATACACCTCTGTGTTCTTCCAGCTGTTGCCCCACCCCGTGGATCACTTCTGTGCACAAGCCCAAGGCAGCCTCCGTGCTCCCCAGTTCTGCTCTGAGCCCGGTGGAGCTGCCAGCACTTCCCCTTCTCCCACCTGCCACGATGCGAGGCACCATCCTTACTTGATGAGATCCGGGGTGTTGTCCAGTTTGCCCCTATGCTCTAGGCCTCGTGTCCAGGCAAAGATGCTAGCAATGGGGTTGGTGCTGGTGGGATTGCCCTACAAAGGAGAGGAAGGGGGTGAGCGTGAGCACGGGGGTTGGCAAAGTCACTTCTGGCCAGGACTAACCCACATTGACCAGCCTCTCATCCTCAAGCTCCGAAGTGGCAATGCCATGCATGACCAGGAGAGGGAGCACCAAGTCTTTGCTCACTCACCTTCTGGTGCTCCCTGTAATGGCGCGTGACAGTACCGTGGGCAGCCTCAGCTTCAATGGTCTTCCCATCCGGGCACACAAGAACGGATGTCATGAGGCCCAGGGAGCCAAATCCTGGAAACAAAGCCAACCATCAACAGACAAGCCCAGCCTGCCAGGGGAAGGGGCAGCCAGGATGTGTGTGTGTGTGGGGGGGAATACTTAACAGTACTTTGGGAGAAGAGGTAAATTGCCCTATGGAACGTACATCACACCTCTTGGGGCACTGATTAGAAGGGGCTGGAGCTTATCAAGCTTCCTGGCCTTGCCTGGTGCCATCGCCCTCCTGAGAACTCTCCACTGCAAAAGCACTTTGGTGGCCACTGAGGTCACCTTTATAGATGTCTTATGCTCAAGGGCAGAAAACTGCCCTTTCGATTCAAACGCCATGTTAGGGAAGGCCTGTAACTCAGGAATCAAGCACACGAATTGCACACTAACACTCCCAGGCACAGTCCCTGGCCGTGCCACCAGGCAGGCCCGAGGAGGACGTCCTCTCTGGAATTCCTGGGAGCTGCTGCTGCTGCTGCTGCCTGTCAGGGAAGAGGGTGCTCAGCCCTGGCCCAACATGGTTGGCAGATCTCCTTTTGCAGGCCACAGAGGAACCGAGATTGAGTGGAGGTGGGGTCGTCATGCGACAGCCCGAGACTCACCTTCCCCATCACCTTCCCCAGGGCCCTTGGTGTGCAGCAGGTGCCCTTTAGGGACCCAACACAGTACCCACCTTGGGCCAGGATGTCAGACTGGACGTCGCCATCATAGTTCTTGCAAGCCCAGACAAAGCCGCCCGACGACTTCAGCACCTGGGCCACCATGTCGTCAATGAGACGGTGTTCATACCAGATCTTGAGTTTGTCGAAATTGGTCTTGTAGTGCCTGGCAGCGTAAGGCAGAAGATGAAGGGGGGAACGAAGGGGAGAGGAAGCAGCTAGGCTCCAAGGCCAGGCTGCGACAACACCCTCGGTGCCCTTGAGTCCTGGAGTGGCCTGGGCTCTTCTTGCTCTCTGAGATGGAAGGGGAAGGAGGCACCACCACGGCCACTACCGTTGCCCCCCCACACCCTGACCCCTCATCTTAGGGTGGTGGGGGTGGCCCTGCCTGTCCATCCTCTCTTCAAAGCAGCACTTTGTGCAATAGATAGGAGACAAGCAGTGACATGATACAAGGCAAATGGACGGATGGGGAAAGGAAGGCAAAGCAGGGAAGGAAGGACACGCAGAGTCACAGACGTGTGGAGCCAAAAAAAGGTGGCAGGCTCAAGCGCAAGGCTGGAGAAGGAGCCAAAGTTAGGCAAAGCAGGCAAATGCTCAAAGGAAGCCCTCGTGGCCAGACTCCACCACCGGAGCCAGGCTCCACCTTACGGGCGGCTCTGCTCAGCCCACCTCGGTGCACAGGGTCTCCCTGGGAAATGCTGGATAGGGGAGGGGATGTTAACGCCCAGCTAGTCATCCACCCTCCAGGATGGCAAGCCAAGAGAGGACTGGACCGACTTACTTGTCAAAGATTTCCTGGAAAATGTCCTTGAAACGCCCATCGTAAGCCTTGAGGATGGTGTTCTTGGTGCTCATGTAGAGGGGCCACTTCTTCTGGATGGCATACTGGAAGCAGCTGTGGGCGAAGCCGGAGATGGACTGCAAGAGGGACAAAGAAGGGAGTCGGGGAGGTCCGGAAAAAGCCTGTAATCGTGGGCCCAGCTCCAAAGCATCCCCCTTGAGGGTGGGGAGGCACGGCTTCCCTAGGAGGGTCCCCACCCCTGCCCTCAAAAGGCCACCCTCTCACCTCATCCGTATTGTACATGCCCATGCCGACGCCTCCGCCGGGGAAGTTGTAGACTTCCCACTCCTTGACTCCGCTGCCATCTTTGGGAGTGAAAATGATCTTAAATGTCCCCGACTTGTCCACAACAAAATCTGTGGCTTTGTACTGAAAAGCAGAAACCAAAGATTATTGACCTCCGTGGTGCCTCAACTTCCCACTAGCTAACGTACCCCATGGCCCCACTTCCTCATGCCCCCCATCTCCACAAGTTCTTTTAATATAGCCTTCCTAACGTGGTCCTCTTTGCTAGCTTTGTCCCCACAGAATATCACACAGTATCTGAATTCAGGAGAAACCTTTCCAAAAGCCAAGCCTCTGTCCCTTAAGGATGATGGGGATATGTTATCAATAGTGCCGGCCAAAGGGGACGGTGACACAATGGGCATCAACGGCAAACCCTTCCAGTAGGATCCCAACCAGATTCCCTTCCTGTCCTTCACTTCACACCGTCCTTGGTTCTTGCTACAAAAGTTCAGCTGCCAGATTCTGTGCAAAGCATGGAAGATGCCCCGTGTAGGCATGAAAATGAGCAACTCTGCTGATCCTTTTGATTTCCGTGCATTATTTCAGCTACAATAGACATGTCTATGGGGGAAGGACAGACTGGAAGCAGCTTCTAGCCGTCCAGATCATAAAGAACAGGCTGAGGGATGAGGTGGGGCAGGCTGTGACCCTCCTTTCCCACAACACAAAAGGGGGCAAAGGGGCAATGAGAGCGTCATCTGCTGCGTCCAAACCATGTCCCAATTCCTGGGCAAGCTGTGACTTAACAGGAGACCGACCGCGACGAATGTGTTGGCAGTCTTTTCCAGATGCCCTTTCCAGCCACACGAGAGGAGGACCCTCTCAACCCACCTACCTGGTCGCCATGGGCATGCCTGCCAATGGTGATAGGCTTTGTCCAACCAGGAACCAGGCGAGGAATGTTCTTGCAGACGATTGGTTCTCGGAAGACTGTCCCGCCCAGAATATTCCTGATGGTGCCGTTAGGGCTTTTCCACATTTTCTTCAGCTTGAATTCTGGGACAATCGGAGAGAGAAAAACAGAGCCCAGAGTAAGAGCACATTTCCATGGCTCCAGAATCGGCCCACGTGGCACCAGCCGCCCCTTCATTCTTATCGGGCTTGAACCTTACGAAGGAAGTTGACCTGCACGACCTGGAGTGAACAGCAGCTCTGGAGCAACTGCTTTCAACCTCTGGCCTCCTCTGGAGTCAGCAAGCAAAAGCAGGATCTCCACTGTAGGGCCAAGGGCCAGATGGCCCACCCTCTGAGCCCACCCACAGCTGCACGTACCTTCCACTCTGGCCTCATCGGGGGTGATGGTTGCACACTTGACAGCCACACTGTACTTCTGGGTGGCCAGGGCCGAGTCAATCGTGACCTGGTCATCCGTCTGGTCCCGATGGGGCAGCCCCAAGTCAAAATACTTCAGCTGGACATCCACATTGGGCAGGATCAGCTGGAGGGGGAGGGGGACTGAAATTGAGTAAGGAGCAAGAGGCAGGCAGCCGCCCTCTGAGGGAGGTCTGTGAGTCACCAGCTAATTGTTGCAGGTTTATACACGGGCTTTTCCCAGGCCATCCGATCAGAGCTCTACTTCACAGAGCTTGCTACTACCGAGGTCTTTTTTTAATTAAACACCTTTCTAATTATACAAAAAGACTTATTTCGTAACGTGTTCTAACATATTACCTCCATGTTTTATCTCAAGGTAGCACTTCAGATGCAACAAAAAAAACACTCTCTGAGCTCTCAGCATTTTGTACCTTCCTTGCCCCCCCCAGAGCACATGTCGTTGTCATTGTCGAGTTGTGTGCAGCATCTAGTTGCGCTAGAGCTATGTTTCCCAACCTGGGGGTTGTCCTAAGTGCCTGTTGGTCACTTTATATGTGTCATAACCCTTAATCATATCTTCCTTGACCTTTTAGAGTGGGATATTAAAGTTAGGGTGTTTATTTATGTATCAGAAATAGGCCCTTTGGGGGAGAAAGAAGCCTCTGCTTTGTGAGAAGGGATGGCTTTACCCCATTAACATGCTTTTTTAATGCAAACATGGCAAGGGGTGGGGTTGATGTTTACTTGGCTGTGATAAAAAGGGGTCACGACTCCAAAAAAAAGGTTGGGAACCATTGCACTAGAATCAACATTCACCGACAAATTTGAAATCATGACGTGGAAAAAATGCCTCTCTTTCTCTCTCTCTCCGCACACACACACTCCATTTCTCTCTTCTCTCGGCCATCTCTTTTCCTAAGCCTCAGACTCGTGTGCTTCATCCAACTTTATAAGGCACACCTCCTTCTCTCGGCCATCTCTTTTCTAAGCCTCAGACTCGTGTGCTTCATCCAATCCCCTTGTCATTACAGTAGTTGCCATCTTCCGGCTTTCTACCTTTCTCAGAACTCCACCGCATACTTTCAGTGTGGCCAGATCCAGCCAGGTCAAACAGGCCATGCCTGCGGTCTCGGCCCTTTCGCGTTCAGGCCCTGCCCGCTGGCTGCCCGTTGGCCCAGAATGTCAACGTACCTTCTCTTTGATGAAGGCCCAGATGATTCGGGTCATCTCGTCACCGTCCATCTCCACCACTGGGTTGGCAACTTTGATCCTTCCTCTATCGGCATCTGAGGGAGAAGAGGTCAGAAGGCTAAAGGCCACAAGCCACCCCTTCTTCTGGGAGCCAGGATCCTGGCCACAGCCCTCCCCTGCCACTACTACTGAGGAGACCCATGTCAGTGAGAAAGAACCTCTGCAAACTGAGGGAGTTTACGGACGACGGAAATTGTGAGTGCAGCCGCTTGCGGCCCCTCCAGGCCATCGCTTTGGGGAGGCAGAGGAACCCCTGCTCCCAACGTACGTACGGTGCCCAGCCAGGTTGCGGCCCCCATCTGCCCCACCCTTCAGCCAGAGTCTCTCTCAGAGCCCCATCCATTCCCCAGCAGTTGATGAGACAGTGGGCTGTGTCAGGCCGGGGCAAAGCCATGCCAGAAAAACCCTAGATTGTGCCCCGTGTGCCCATCCCAACGCACCAGTGCCAAAACCGATCTGGACATGAGTACCCTTAACATCCCGCTCTCGGGGCAACGGCCTGTTTCCCCTTCCAGCAAGGCCCGTCCCTTTGTAGGCGACCTACAACTGAGGCCGGTGGTTAAGCACTGGAAGGACGGCTACAGAACAGAAGCGGCAAGGGGCTCCTCAGGGAGCAGGGCAGACCGTCAGCCGGCAGCTGACCCGGCCAGGGAGAAGGGAAAGTGAATTAACTGCTGCCACTGCCCAGCAGGGCTCTAATCCCAAAGCCTGACTTTCACAAACCGCCCTAATCTGGGCCTCGGCCTGTGCCTGCCCAGGGGGGGACCTTCCTCCTCGCAGTCCAGGACAGAGGCAGAACCGACAACCACGCCACAGTTCCTGCCGGTCAAGAGACAAGGTCACCCTCAGAGGACAGTGGGCAGGCGGGCAAACACACTGACTGCCCCTCTCTCTGTGTGTGTGCGTGCGTGCAGCTGCCGGCCAGGCGGCCTCTCCGTGAGTGAGCTGGCACTCTTCTTCTCTGGGAGAGGCTCCCAAGGCAGACGGCCAAGCCGGCTTCAAGCGAGGGGGGGGGCAGAGGAGGTGCTAGCCCAATTCTGGGTTCAGGCTCTGGCCAGGCTCCCCAAATGCATTTGGAAAAGAGCTGCAGCTAAGCGAGGGGAAATTTCGCCTCCTCCAGAGAAGCAGACCGAGGGAAACAGCCCCTCTGGTGTGCCAATTGGATTGGATTCGGTGCCTTGAAGGTGGCAAGGCTCCTATAGAAACCGGGGCAGATGCGAGCTCCCCCTCCCCAAGCCCAGCGGAGGCCTGACCTAGATTCCCTTGGGGGGGGCGGGTTGGCGCAGCCATAAGGCACCCGAAGGGGCGCCGGAGATAAAACACAGGCCAGCGATGTGGGTGCAGAGAATTCAGGGGGGCTCCAGTTGCTGGTCAACGGAGGGTGCAGGCCACGGGGTGGGGGGTCCTCTCGGTACCCCGAAACAGGTGCTTCGTGCCCCCCGCCCGCTCGTGTTTCTGCACAGCTGCTCACGGAGGGGGGGGCATCGGGGCGCCCTTGGGAAAAGGCCTGCCCAACTTCTGCCCCAACGCGAGGGTGTCCCGCTGCCATCAGGTGGCTGGCGAGGTGAAGGGCAAAACTGGCACCGGCGGGGAAGGGTCCCGGCCCGGAGCCGAGAGGCCGGGGGACAAGGCGGACCCACGACCCGAACGCGGGACCCCCGCGCCCGGAGAGGGGCTGAGCCCGGGGCCCCACCCCAGAAAAAAGGCCTGCCCAACTTCTGCCCCAACGCGAGGGTGTCCCGCTGCCATCAGGTGGCTGGCGAGGTGAAGGGCAAAACTGGCACCGGCGGGGAAGGGTCCCGGCCCGGAGCCGAGAGGCCGGGGGACAAGGCGGACCCACGACCCGAACGCGGGACCCCCGCGCCCGGAGAGGGGCTGAGCCCGGGGCCCCACCCCAGACGAGCTTCGGGCGGCACTAAATATAGTCGCCTCCGGCGGGGCTGCCGCCAAGGTCACCGGCAGAGGGGAAGGAGGACTCGCCTCGCCGGGGCGCTCCGTGCGCCGCCAA